ACTATGGTGTAGTTCTGCATTGAATGAAAAACGTGGGTCGCAGGTTCCTCAATAGTGCATTACAAGACATCTATCAATATTTGTGCATACCTCCAGCAATGTTAACTATGTTGAAGCACTTATTTTAACTGATATTATACATAATGTATTTTACTCTTATAAGATGTATGTAGATATTTCATCTCCGGCCTTGTCAGGTATTGAACAATCAATAAATAAAGAACACAGAATTGTTAAATATAAAACACAGAATTTGTGTGATTATACTAAATGATTTACAAATAAACACCACTGCATATTTACAACTGTTACACATGCTGATGTAACGCAAATGTTCCAAATTGGGATCAATAAAGTATATCTTATTTTAAGCTGATCGATGGCTACTGCCATATTTGCAAAATTTGCCTCTGAACCTTGACAAGTGCATGTTTCAGGCTTATCAATTAATGTAATGTAATGTTATCAATTAACAACAGGGGTCACAAACATAAGACCAGCTGTTAAATAAAGCTCTTCTGACCTTAGCTGGCATGTGTGTATATATATTAATGCTGCCCATTATGGGCACAAGCAATTTTCACCCATTTATTAATTATATGTTTTAAATGTGAGTGTTTCCTATCCCCTAAACCTCCAGGGATGTACCCAGTTTAATACTGGCAACTTCTTATTATGGGAAATACGAAAACGTCTTTTAAAACTACAACTCCCAGTAGAGACGTGCCATAGATAGAGAACATGTTGCGAAACAGAATAGCCAGCATGTGTAGTTCTGGGGATGGGGTGGGGGGGGGGGGGGGACGCGGTGGACCCGTTCAAATCCAGTTTTCGACAGTCTGCGTGGTTCCATCCCATTTCAAGTGCTGTTCGAGAATCGGCGTAACCCTCGGAGCACACTCTCCAATCACAGAGCTTGAGGACTATCATTGGGTTTGTCAAACAGAGCACATGGTGTAGTCCAAACGATAGCTGGGGATTCTGGGTAGTGTAGTGTCTTCTGCCATCCTTTACTCAGAAAAAACATTTGTTTCTCCGAATCGAAGGGGAAAAATACAAAAGCATTGCACACAATTTAAACCAATCAATGTTGTGTAATTAACAAGGATAATCTGGTGTTTTTTAGTCGATGAGTAGTGCAGATATCACTGTAAAATCAATCGACAGTAAGAGGAATACTTACTTCCGGGTGTACAATTCTCCGTTATCCAATGGGAATGGACGCTCACATTGCCTTTAAGGGCAGCCGACACAAACGAATGCCGTGCTTCCATGAGCGTCAAATCCCGCCGTAGATGGGAATACATTGCAATCAGTTGAAAGCTATTTGCGTCCCTTTATGACGCTGAAGGAGCCTAGGAGCGTCACAACTAGACGCCACGGACACTGACCAAACGTCGCTCCTGGACGCTTAGGGAGTGAGAGTGTGTTGGTGTGTGTGTGTGTGTGTGTGTGTGTGTGTGTGTGTGTGTGTGTGTGTGTGTGTGTGTGTGTGTGTGTGTGTGTGTGTGTGTGTGTGTGTGTGTGTGTGTGTGTGTGTGTGTGTGTGTGTGTGTGTGTGTGTGTGTGTGTGTGTGTGTGTGTGTGTGTGTGTAATTTTCAGAGTGGTTTTCGTAAAGGAAGATGTACAATAGATACTTTGGTTAGAGTAAGCAACGAGGTGGAATAGACACTGAAAATGAAAGAGGTTATGGCAATAGTACATTCTGATATTGAAAACGTTTACGACTCTATGTGGAGGGATGGTTTACTCATCAGATTAAGTGAAATGGGCATTGGAGGGAGAATGTTTAACTGGATCATTGCTTTTTTATCAGATAGGATATTCAGAGTTCAAGTAGGGGCAGAGGTTTCAAAAGAGTTCAGTATAGAAAATGATATTCCCACAGGGAGTTCAATCAGCCCGATATTATTTAACATTATGATAAATGACATAATCAGTCATTTGGACGGATGAATCAAATCTGCGCTGTATGCAGATGACGGGCCATATGGATAAGGGGAATAAATGTGTTTGAGAAGATATGCAAAGCTATAAAGAAAGTGGAGAAGTGGTCATATACATGAAGCTCAGTGTAAATTCAACCAGGAAGACCTTCTTTACTCATTCATTCAGTATTTCCAATTTACTACTCTCTCTCCTCTCAATAAGTGATCGGGGCGTCACTCCCCAGTTTAACCAATCACGTCGCTCTATTCTCACAAGCCTATCAAAGCGCTCCGCTAAACTTTTTAAATCTGCTCTCCCCTCTGACAGCTGTCATTTCAGGTGACTCAACACAACCCCCATCCAGGGTCAAGCTAAGCCCCTCCCCTTCAGACCGACCCCAACTATCCATTCACCACCACCAGGGTCAAGCTAAGCCACTCCCCTTCAGACCGAACCTAACTATCCATTCACCACCACCAGTGTCTAGACCCCGGGGGGTTTCATCGGATCGGTTCTCCCCTCCCGAATGATACACCTGCACAACGGGGTCTAATCATCAAAACTCCATTACATTCATTTGTGTATTCCTGGCAATAAACATGTATTCTTACATCAAAACCGTCTCTCCTGATTGAACTGGGGTTTCAAGCTGTCAGCAAGCAAATCTTGCCTCATGAAATTGATTAATAAACGCAAGATGGAGACTGAGAAGCTTACATTATATGGAAAGCCGATGAATGAGGTCAATGAATTTAAATATCTGGGGCTATGGTTAAATAGTAAATGTACATGGAAAACTCATATTAAACATTTGGAAACAAAATCCCAAAAAGTTTTGAACCTATTAAGAGCGGTGTCTGGATGTGACTGGGGGCAGACTAAGGGCAATTATGAGGGCAACATTGGATTACGGGTGTATAATATATGCAGCAGCAGCAAAAACGTCATTACAAAAAATTGATAGATTTACAATATAAAGCGTTACGGTTGTGTATAGGTGCAATTAAGTCAACCCCTATTAATGCAATACTAGTTGAAGCAGGAGAGACTCCATTTGGGCTAAGAAGAGAGAAAATTGATCTTGCTTATTGGGTCAGGAAGTGGGGAAGGAAATATCACAAACAAAACATTACAGGATTGCTGGGAATATTCCAAGTTCCAGGGGCGTGGGTTTGGATGGACAATTAAAGGAAAAATAAGGACATACGGCATGCATGATTCAGAGTTCTCACCATCAAATTCATTCAGTAGTGTACCCCCATGGCTCTTTCCAATAGTAAATATATATGTGAGTATTGCAGAAAAGAAAAGAGAGTGGCAAATAAATGAAGTATGTACCTCAGGAATAATTATCACAATTACCTCAAAATATACACAGATGGTTCTAAGAACAAGGAAGAGTGTGTTGGAGTTGGTATACATCCCAGACTTTAAACTATGGATCTCAAAAAGAGTGTCAGATCAATTATCAGCGTACACAGCAGAAATGCTGGCAGTAATAATAGGATTACAGTGGGTTGAAGAGGTCAGACCAGATAGGGTGGTGATATGCACATATTCATTCATATTAAAAAGCATATAGTCAACAACAACTGTCAGAGAAGACATTCTCATAGAACTTAATCATAGCCTGTTAAGACTTCACAGAGGCGGTAAAGATCTGCAGTTCTGCTGGATGCCTGCACATGAGGGGGTGAAAGGGAACGAGTGTGCTGATAAATTAGCAAAAAGTGCACTACAAAAGGAAATAACATTACCAGTTCAACTTGGAAAAGGAGAAGGAAAAGGAGTAATTAAGAAGAAAGGGATGGAGATCTGGCAGAAAAGATGGGAGAAAGACCAGAAAGGCAAAGAGTATCATAAAGTTCAAAAGACAATCACAATTAATATTTATAAAGAAAGAAACAGAAGGGAGGAAATCATGATGGCTAGACTCAGACTAAATCACACAGCATTGAATGGTACGCTGTATGTCATGGGGAAAAGTGACAGTGACAAGTGTAGGAACTCTGGAGTTAAAGAAAATGTAGATCATATCTTATTACATTGTGACATCTGAGAAAAACTAAAGGATAAAGTTTTAGAGGCAGAGAGGGAGTGGAATGTGTTTGGTATTCTGGGAACAGAAGGAGAGGGAGTACGAGCTACCAGAAATGCACTGTTTACCTTTCTGAGTGAAACTGGGGAGGGAAAAATAATTCAACATTAGGTTAGAATAGATATGGGATGATTGTTTTTTTTGTAGCCTATTGTTTTATTTATTTTATGTTTTGATTAGATCATAGATATACGCCCATGAGTTAAGAGATGGAATTATATGGTGATTCACACTCATGTACAGTAGGTGGCGGTATGCACCTTAAAGTTGTTTGCAATCTGCCAAAAACCGAGAGAAGAAGAACAAGAAGTGAAGTTCCCAGCTCTTTCTAACCTGGATCGAGGAGGCATCTCGTAGCTACGGTTCTCTCTCTGTGTGTTCCTGATAAAGTGTGTGTGAGCTCCAGCACTACTGATCCATCATCTGTGTGTCTGGATAAACCTCCGAATGGACACTGTGCTCTTTTTTCTGGAGCGTTTACCTCGGACTATAGGAGCTAGTTTAGCATGCTAGCTGGAAACACGTTAGCAACACTAGTCAGATTGAGAGTTTGATGAAGAGAGAAACGCTGTGTTTAATGGAGTTAGCAGGAAAAGGTGATCTAGTAAACATGAGTAAAGTCCAAATGCTGCTGTCGTTGAAGAAGCAGGGACTCACTGCTGCTGCTGAAGAGATATTTGCTCTGTTTGAAAAAACGATAGCAGAGCTCGAGGAGGAGCTGTTTCTTTCCAAAGAGGAGAACGAGAGACTCCAGAAACTACTGGACGCTGTTTTACAGCCTGAGCTTCGGATACACAGAGCAGGTATGTTCCCTTTACTCTTAATTAACACTTTAAACCAGGGGTGTCCAAACAACGGCCCGGGGGCCAAATGCAGCCCGCTGGCCATTTTGAATCGGCCCTCAGCTAATTCAAATAGTAAAAAAAATGAAATATGGCCCACAAATTAAACTTGTGCTTTTCTCATATTGTACTTCTTAAATATATATGTACAAAAACATTACATGGTAGTATTCATGTCTTAACCAGTTAAGCCCCAATCCTGTTTTTCAGGCCTCAGGCTCGAAAATGACAATAGCCGCGTTCACACCAAGTACTTTGCCACCCCAGGACACTAAGTACAGATCACGTTCACACCGGAATAAGTTCCCTGAGGGAAGATTATGCAAATGAGCCGCTGACGTCACTTCGTCTTCTTCTACTTTGGGTTTAACTGGCAGGCCACAAACCACTTCACGGCGAGTACAGTAGGTGGCGGTATGCACCTTAAAGTTGTTTGCAATCCGCTAAAAAACCAAGAGAAGAAAAACTTCCAGCGTATACTGCCACGCCCACCCACCCGCTGTATGTGTCTGTTTACCTTCCGACCTCAGACATGATGGAGATGGAGTCGACATAAGTTGTGCTGTTTGTGCTCATGTTATTCAGCTTTGTAACTGAGTTATTGCAGCCTGAGCCAACTACGCCTTCGACACAAATCCGGAGCCGCCACCCGTCGAATGCTATAATCGCAAAGCTGCTTCAGCATCAAATGCGGTTAAAAAGCCTTAAGAAAAGGATTGGACGACGAAAAGCACGCAGTATGGCCATGTTTCACCGTAGGATGGCTGATGACGATGAGCGTTTTCACGCCCTAAGAACAGCAATGGTAAGTTCAGTAAATCACAATTATTAATACTCTCTAATGTAGGATTTGTGGAGTTATGTAGAGCTAATTTGTGCCTTTGTATGTGTTCCAGATATGCGAATACTAGGGCTGCACGATTTTGGGAAAAAAAATCGAATTGCGATTTTTCTGAAAAATATTGCGATTGCGATATTTGTTTTTAAGCGACCCAACGGAAGTTTCTTGTAAAATGCGGCCATAACTCCGGCTAGGAAGGTCGTATCAACGTACTCCCGTCTCTAGCACCCCCGCAGCCCGAGCTACGAGTGAAAAAACTAAACTTACATGAAACTTCCGTTGGGTTGCTTTAAAGTCAAGCTTCAGTTTAAGATTCACCCTGTAATAGAAACATGTGATGGAGCATTACTAACCTGACCCAGATGGTTTGTTTCACCAAACCATCTAAAGCTCCATTGGAAGCCATTTGGAAAGGGCGGGCACTTTCAGAAGCACTTGGCAGGTGATTGGATCAATCTGTGTATCACCTTCTATCATGGGCTACTTCTGATTGATTAACAATGGCTGGTACATGTGGAGCACAGCACTTCTGATTGGTGTGGATGACTGACACACAAGAAAAAATAAAAAAAATTGTAAAAATAAAAAAATTGTAAAAATGTTAAAAATAATCGTAGGCTTTGCGATTTGATAATCGCATCATTTAAAATCACGATTTCGACTTAAAATCGATTAACCGTTCAGCCCTAGCGAATACTACGGAACGCGTCGTGTCCCGCGCTCTCTCTGGGTGAACAATAGAACATCGGCCACACTGATGTGCAGTGGATCAAAGTTTTCCGAATGTCCAAGCACTCTTTCCAATACCTCTGTAGTCGCCTGGAAGCAACGTTGGGGAGAAGCAACACCAACTTCCGGGAGTGTGTCCCTGTGCCTAAAAAAATCGCCATAGCACTGTGGAAACTTGCGACCAACACTGAGTACAGGACCATCTCTCATTTGTTTGGAGTCGGCAGATCTACGGTGTGTTACTGTGTGCACGAGTTCTGCTCCTCTGTTGTGAGCCTACTCCTTCCTGAGTTCATGCCATGGCCGAACGCTGAGAAGTTAGAGATGGCGTTATTTTTTGAGCACAGATGGGGTGTGCCACAGTGTGTAGGTGCAGTAGATGGATCACACATCCCCATTCTGAGACCAGAGGAATTCCACAACGAGTATTTCAACCGCAAAGGCTGGCACTCGCTCATCCTGCAGGGTGTTGTGGATGGTAAGGGCCTCTTTTGGAGTGTTTTTGTTGGCTTACCAGGTAGCATGCATGATAGCAGAGTGTTAGGCATGTCATCACTGTGTAGTTTTGTGGATAAGGGTGGTCTACTTCCTCATGTAACAAGGAATATTGGTGGACATGATGTGGGTTACTATATCCTTGGTGACTCAGCCTACACCCTGCAAAGATGGCTGATGAAACCTTTATAAGTAAGGCTGACACCCCAGCAACTTGCGTACAATTACAAAACAAGCCGAGCACGAGTGGTGGTGGAGAACGCTTTTGGCAGACTGAAGGGCAGGTGGCGGTGCTTGATGAAAAGAAACGACTGCAAGATTGACAAGATCAAAATCCAGGTGGCAGCATGTTGCATATTACATAACCTTTGTGAGAGTAATGATGATGAGTACAGGGAGGAATGGACTGCCTTACCGGCGACCCAGCTTGATGGGCCAGCGCCAGCCATTGCCGAGGCTGGGGGGCAAGACACGCGCACAGCCCTTATGAGGCATCTGAACAGCGTGTAAATTGTACATTGTAAACATTTTGACAATAAAGTTGATCTTTTGGTTCTCTCTTTTATTTACCACAGGCAACATTACAATAGTGTACAGTGTGGAAATATAATAACAATAAACTGTGCCAGGTGTGTTGTATGCACAGTAAATAGGCTCAGCAGCAAACACACCTTTTATTATATATCTTCCTGAGACCCACTGCATCCATCCATCCATCCATCTTCTCCCGCTTATCCGTGGTCGGGTCACGGGGGTAGCAGTTCCAGCAGAGAGCCCCAAACTTTCTTTTCCCTGGCGACATCAACCAGCTCTGACTGGGGGATCCCAAGGCGCTCCCAGGCCAGCGAAGAGATATAATCCCTCCACCTGGTCCTAGGTCTACCCCTTGGTCTCTTCCCAGCTGGACGTGCCTGGAACACCTCCCTAGGGAGGCGCCCAGGTGGCATCCTAACTAGGTGCCCGAACCACCTCAACTGGCTCCTTTCGACGCGAAGGAGGAGCGGCTCAACTCCGAGTCCCTCCCTGATGACCGAACTTCTCACCTTATCCCTAAGGGAGACACCAGCCACCCTGCGGAGAAAACCCATCTCGGCCGCTTGTATCCGCGATCTCGTTCTTTCGGTCATGACCCATCCTTCATGACCATAGGTGAGGGTAGGAACGAAAATGGCCCGGAAGACCGAGAGCTTTGCCTTCTGGCTCAGCTCCCTTTTCGTCACAACGGTGCGGTAAAGCGACTGCAGTACCGCTCCCGCTGCTCCGATTCTCCGGCCCATCTCACGCTCCATTGTTCCCTCACTCGAGAACAAGACCCCGAGATACTTGAACTCCTTCACTTGGGGTAAGGACTCATTCCCTACCTGGAGTGGACAGTCCATCGGTTTCCTGCTGAGAACCATGGCCTCACTGGCCCACTGCATCCGTCTGCCATAAACACTACGGAAACCTACATGTTAGTTATGGCCAGTGTTGTGATAGTTACTGAAAACCAGTAACTAGTTACCATTACTAGTTACTTCATTTCAAAAGTAACGCAGTTACTTACATCAAATAGTAATGCGTTACTGTGAAAAGTAACGTTTTAGTTACTTACAAAAAGGGCTCCCATTAATGCCCTTATAGCCATCATTTCAGTACTGTTATTGCATTGGAGAATAATACAATCTGTTGATCAACTTGACATTCATTATATGCAATCTGGATTGCATCGATATTAGCTGGCTTTCCATTTTTGTATATTCTTTCTCCAGGTAGTTGGAAAAAGTCTTCCGTCCCATATGCCGTGTGCAGCCCGGACATGCTATCATGCTAACTAGCTCCCTGAAAGCAGGTGACTCCACTGTAGCAATAGCCTGCATGTGTTCTACAACATACCGTGCAATGGCTTTATCGACTTTTCCCTGGCCAGCAGTCCCTTGGTTAAAATCCAGCCGCTGTTGCTTAGGTGGAGGTGGAGTGGCGTCGGCTGAGTCTCTGTGGTCTTAGCTACTAGCTTCGTCCCAGCATGTTGTTTTTGCAGATGTTTTAAGAGATTTGAATAACTGGTTTGGGCAGTAGATAGGCTCTTTGACCCGCCAAGACACAACTTACATTTAACAGAAACTTTATTTTCTTTGTGCTCGACAAAAGTGAAATAGTGAGAATATCTCCAGGTGGAGAAACTAGACTTGAGCTCTGCCGCCGCCATGATAGTCTTGTTAGTAAACAACACAAACACGCCCACAGCCCGTCTCCGCATGTGACACAGGAAGTATCTAAGTACATTTACTCAAGTACTGTACTTAAGTACAGTTCTCATCTCTGTTCGCCTGGCTGTTGACTATATAAAAAAACTAACGCAGTAACGGAGTAACGCACCATGTAGTAACGGTAACTGAGTTACTGAATTTTAAAATAAATGTGTTAGAGTATTAGTTACTACAAAAATAACGGCGTTACAGTAACGCGTTACTTTGTAACGCGTTAATCCCAACACTGGTTATGGCCCATAGTGGACTCCATTTTGTGTTGTGTAAAATGGGGGGGGAATAAAAAGTTAGCAAATCCCCATGTCCTCCTCAGAGAACATTCATAAAAACATTTAGTTTTAGGTTAAATAATACTTAAAATGATAGGATGCTACATAGGTCGTTGTAAAGATAAAGTGTCAGAGGAGAAATAAGCAAGACACAGGATCTGTTTAATCGCCATGTAGGTTCTCTTTTATTGCACACTCAAGACATAACAGTAGTAAATAGAAGTTCACATTTTTTATGTAAATAAAATAGAAGTTGTAAATGTAAGTTAACATTTTCAATATAAAATTAAAACTGCGGTCACAGACGTGCACGGAGTTGTGGGCAGGCCTTCGCGTCTGAGCGCCTGTCGGGGAGGGTCGCCGGTCGTCCCGCCGTCAAGCAGACGCGCGCGAGTCCTCCGAAATGAGCCGTTCGTAATTTCTCAAATGTTCGCGTTGCGGTGGGATAATCCAAAAATCAGCTCCTAATGTCCAACCCTATCGTCTATTCCTTGACCTCTGAGTGAAACGTCATGGGGTTAAGGCATCGTTTCTCAAAGTGTGGGGCGTGCCCCACCGGTGGGGCGCAGAGATATGATAGGTGGGGCGCGAATGGACGCGATGAACGGAAGATTATTTTTTTTTATTTAAGAAAAAAATGTTTTGGACTTCAGGCTGGAATCGAACCCGGGTCCTCGCGGGCGGTAGTGGATTGTTACAGCCGGAGACTCGCAACGGCGATGGACTTTCACAGCACCGCTGCGCCGGACCTGCCGGAGGCGCCAGAGCCTCGCAACGGCGGGTGTTTGCGGCGGCGGATGCGGTACCGGCGCAGCGGCGCTGTGAAAGTCCACGGCCCACCTATGCCAGAGCTAGCGGCCCACCGAAGGCAGCAGCCCACCAACGGCAGCGGCCCACCGGGAAAAGTCCCGATGCTCACACACACACAACTGAAACCAAAATAATTTACAGATTATGTAAAAATCACTCTCACACACATGTGAAACACACACACACACACACACACACACACACAGCGTTACAGTCGGGAAGAAAAGCAATGTGGAGCGGCACCTCACCACTTCAAGGAGTTTAACCGTGACACTTTTCGAAATCCCGTTTGTGTCCCCCCACTTTACAAATAGGCCTATGTTTATTATTATCTTTTAACACAAGCCATCATCGCCACGGAGGAGCACACAGCCTCTGTGAACGAGCGAGACAGAGCTAGAGAGAGCACACC